AGTTGTCTGGTAGCATAACGGCTGTATTGCTAACCCATTACTGACATTGCTGTTGTGTTAGTCATAATCCGTCAGTGAGAGAATTATTTCACCTTAACTGGTAATTTAGAGGTTGCATAACATTATCAAACCACTTTGATATCACATTGCCAGGGATATACTTCCTTTTACTATTGTGTAATATAGTGTCTAGAAGATACCTCTGGGGGGCACAACAGAGAGATTAAGCCATACACTCTAAAAACACCACGGTTGAAAAGGGACCGACTACCTATTGGGTTATTTTGTCCCAGAATGTTGGGTTGTTCAAATTAACCCAAAATTTGTGTTGACTTAATAACCCTTTTTGAGGGTCAAGTTAACCCAATGTTTGAGTTATTTGACTCATGATCTTGGGTTAAATTGATATATGTATTTGCTTTGTAGACCTTGTTAACCCGGGCTATGTCTGAGCCGGTTTGGCTTTCAATTGTAACGCACACATGTTTATGAGGTAGTCCATAGCGCTAAGGGTCTTGCTTAATAAAGACCAACACAGGTAGATGTAGTTCCTTAAAGATGTATCTCATGCAGGCTTTCTGGTCACTTTAATCGCCATTAGGCCTAGAGACCATGTAGAGTCAATCGAAACCCAACTTTCTGACCCAATTATTGGGTTACTCTCAGAAAAATAACCCATAATTATTAACCCATTCAAAAACCCTCAAATTGGGTTACAATAGAATCCATATGACCCAAGAAATGGGTATGGATCTGAAAAAATAACCCAGAAATTTAACTCAACACGTATAACCCAGGAATTGGGTTGAAGAAATAACCCAAGAGTTATTAAGGTGTATGCAAATATGGGATATGTGGGGTGTAGCAACCTCAGAGTGCATAAAACAAGGATAGATACTCTGAGGCGTCGCCAAAAAGAGTGTTTTAAAGTCCAACAATGGTGGTCGCCATGTTGGTGATGGCTATGATGACTCAACCTTACTTCTGACCAATCTAGGCACAGGCATTGGCAAATTTTTAGCCTCCAAACACATGTACGTCTCTTAGTCACCCCTTTGCAGAGCATCTGAGTTAATAAGTGAGCTAAAAACAACAACCAGGTTACTAGCATGTTTAAAATCTAAAATGGGACCTAATAAGAAACACCAATATCTTTGCATTTTGTCTTCATTTTCTAACTCTGCAGGTTTCCATTTGGTTTACTGGTGTCAATGTGGTCACTTCATCGTTAATTTTGAGGTTTTACCAGCAAATTTGAACCCATTAAAAAAATATCTGTAGCGTTGTGTCTTAATCTTTTACTGTTTGTCAAACAGCACTTTGGAAGTGTTAGTCTATTCGCTTAAGTACCTCAGATGTGGAACAAGGCAGATTTTTTTTAAAGTGGTGGTTCAAGCACATTTTTAAGTTGTATATAGTAAATATGAAGACCCCCTGATACACTTTTACACACACACACACACACACAAAGCACTACAGACACACAAACCCAGCTCTGACCTGGCCCTGCGGGTGTGACAGGTAAAGAAGAGCTGAGCAACCTGTCGATGCAGGTAGAGAAGCATTCCACGTGGCCCCACACACACACACACACACTCAGAAAAAACAGGGAGTGTGTGTGGAGACAGCAGTGCTAACATGTCATCCACTCCTGAATCTGTGTTGTCAATCTCTTGTAGTTTGTTTATTTATCGCGTACATCTTCTCACCACCACCGGTTATTACCCCACCACCACACTCTCTTCTTCTTCTGCTTCTATATTTGCAGCTTTGCAAAGCCGTCACACAGCAAAAATCATGAATCTCAGTCCTCCAAAGTGAGAGCAGCCTTCAGACATGTAGTCCTGATCAGAAATCTAACGTTCCCCTTGTTTGCAGATGGAATCTCTCCCATATTTATCAAACACAGCCCATCTTCTCCCCCCCCAAACCTCGGGCTACTGTGCGTATCAGAAATGACTGGCACATCAGCACATCTATCACACCTATCGCCGTCACCATCACCCCGCCACACACCTTCCTACCCAGACCGACACACACACAGACAGACACACACCTCAGTTACATTACCACTTATGACACATTACACAGCTGATAAGATCCCTCAGCTGATAACGTCACCTTGCCCCAGAAAAGGTCGACTAAATGTGTTGGGAAAAACTATCAAAGCACGCGCCGGGAGTTTTTAAAACATGCCAACATGTCATAGTAGACTTGTTGGAGGGGAGAGGACTAATGGTTTTTCAACAACTCTACAAGAGGCTGATAAGAGGTGAGAACTTGTGTAGGAGGCGCTGCATTCTTTTCTTTTTTTTTCTGAGATCCCAAACAAAGGACTATTTTTAACTTTTGGTGTCAATCTTTCAGGAATTAAAAGTACTGTACTTCCCTTTAAACATGCAAGTAAAAGAGTGTATCAGCAACAAATTATAGCATTTTGCATGCTTATTGTTGCTAATTTCTCATGCATTGTTAACACAAAATAAGTTGAAGAGTTGAAGAAGACTGCCTTAGGTTGCAGTTTGGGGTACAAATGGGCCAAAAAACAAAGTATGCATTTTTGTATGTAAAACCTTGAGGAGAGTATTGGCAGAAAAATTTTGACATTTATGAAATGGACTGAAATTCACATTGATGCCTTTTCATGAAGCAAACAAGACCATCAGCAACAAGAACAATGACTTTCACAGTCTAACTATCAATGCCCAGAATTGGTGCAAGCGTATAGGTGTCTGTGAATAGCCAGGGTTAGGGTTGGACACTATGTCAATGTCATAGTATACTATGATTAAAATTTCAAATTTTATTATGAAAAAACATCATAGTATAGTATGATTAAAAAAAATGTCATAATATAATGTGATAAAAATGTCATAGTATACTATGATAAAAATTTCAAATTGTAGTAGATCAAAAAATATAATAGTATAGTATGATAAAAAAAAATGTCATATTATAATATGATAAATATGTCAAAGTATAATATGATAAAAAATTTCAAATTTTAGTATAAAAAATACAGTATAGTATGATTTTAAAAAATGTCATATTATAATATGATAAAAATGTCATAGTATACTATGATAAAAATTTCAAATTTTAGTATAAAAAATACAGTATAGTATGATTTTAAAAAATGTCATATTATAATATGATAAAAATGTCATAGTATACTATGATAAAAATGTCAAATTTTAGTACATAAAAATGTCATAGTATAATATGTTAAAAAATGTCATAGTGTAGTGTGATAAAAATCATGATTAGGTATAAGAAAAACATTGTAGTATGATAAAAATGTCAAAGTATAATATGTTAAAAAATGTCATAGTATTTTACATCAAATATTCACAACCTTCAAAAGTAAACAGGATTAGACACAATTTAAGCATATAGAGGACAAGATATGCAGAAGTGTAATGTTAACACTGATCAGCCGTTGTGTTTTAGGTCTCCCCCACTTATTTATTCCCCATTTTTCTCCTCTCTCAACATTTTAACTTTAAGTTTGGTTTACACCTCTTACAAGTCTTAGTAGCCCTGCACTAATGCAGACGCCTACATACATAGCCTGATATGCTGCTCCTTAAAAATGTATTGCTCAGATGCAACAAGCCCTCTGATTGGTCATCTTTGAGGCAGACATCTCTGGTGTCACCTCTCAGAACATTTCATGTATCAATGTCAACTGCAATTTGTCAACTGCATGTCAGTGACATATTTCCCTTACATTAAACAGGTGAATGAGTGAATTTCAAGAGGGAAGGTTCACTTTAGAATTTAAACTGGTGGGAACCAACCTTAGTACTCAAATTTAGCTTCAGGATCATCACCTCAAGACATTTGTCACTCATCACATCAAGCTTTTACTGCCTTTGAGTCTTCAAATGATGAGATTGTAGAGGCATAGGAGAACTTAAAAAGCGACTGAGGCTGACTGGTTTCACTTTTCTACATTCCACCTTGTTAACCGAGGCCCCATTAAATAAAGTAGCAGTCTCCCACCCAGCTGCACTCCTGTCAGCCTGACTCAGGAGCCACTCACACTGTAATGCAGCAGCTCCGGCTAATTGGAATATCTCTGTCTCACTTCTCCAATCACACCTGACATGTTCCTGTGAGGGGAGAAGTGTTAAAGGGATGAGATGAAGAGGCCCCTGGGGGACGAGGAGCTGCTCAAACTCTTTACCCCCCACCCCCCTGAAGCCCAGCGGCAGGGGGGAGAATAGAAAAAAAAAAAAGCTCAAAAAGGGAAAGTTAGCAGTGTGCGCATTTCAGGGAACGACTGAGACAAAAGTTCAACTGTTCTGGGACGAGCCTCGGTCTCGGCCTCGCTGTTTTTCATGTCAAATCTTGTCTCATCTGTTGCACCACTTGAGGAATGTGGAGTGTGAGAGTGTCCAATTCTCAAAGTTGAATGTTTCAGGGGTTAACAATCAGTTAAAAAAGTCCCACCTGAGTTTGATTAGTGATCAAAATGTATAACATAATAAACGGTATATGCAGACCCAGATTGTAAAATGACAGAAACTCTCACACTTTGTCCCCACATGCCAAAAACCTGTCCTGGTGCACTTCATTTCACCTCTCAGCATGACTTATAGCAAGCGTGACTCACCTTTTTCATGTACCCTGCACACGTGTGAGCTCAGGTACGAGTGGACGAGTGTGTCTCTAAATGCATGCATGCGTGCACAAAAGTGTGTTGCTGTGTGAGTGTGCAACTTCATGGTTTAGAGTGGAAATCAGGAATATTAATGTTGCAAGAAGCCCTGCAGCGAAGGGAGCGAAATCAACCAATGACTTCTCTTGGTTAATGAACAGTTACATTCCTCTCTGCGGTGAGAGTCCTTCTCATGCACACCTGTCTTCAGCTTGCCTGGGTGTCTTTTTGTTGCACTATGAAAAAGGTCAGAATAGGGCATGGACGCTCTGTTTTTTTCCAGTTTGGATCAATGCATCGGTCCTGAGATTAAATTAGTGGTTAGGTTGTTGTAAGCATGAAACCTGAATCAGGCCCACACACCTGCATGCACAAGACCCTCCTCTTTACACCTGTCTCCATGGCGGCAGAAGGCAGGTAATGGTATGTGACACCAGTGGTGATCGAGTTTTAACTACCGGCTGGTGGTCAGGGCTGTATGAACCGTGGCGTGACCCCCTGCGACCCCTCCACCGCAGTTCACAGCTCCCCAGCTCTTGCTCCAGCCTTACCTTGAATGGAGCTTTAAATGAGGCCCATTATCCAGTTGCACAACCTCCCAAACTGAAGTCCCACTGGGGCTCCCCTGAGGGGCCAGAAAGGGTGTCCATTATGGGTCTTCAGCCAGGAGTTAGAGGAGGAGGGAGGGCATCCATTACGGCTCTGGGGGATGTAATGTCCAGATGGCCAGGTGCTACCAAAGAGACCTGTCCCACCCTGCAACAATCACAGCTTTCATACCAGGTCCACCTCAGCCCCTCCATCAGCCCAAAACCCGGTGGTCACACAGGGCTGGTCAAGCAGAGAGAAGAGGAGGAAGAGGAGTGGTAGACCTGGAGATGTTTCATAGACAATATTTCAACCTCTCTCTAAGCTAATTCAGCGTATTCACACTACTATAACAAGTTCCACTGTATCCTGTATCTGTAACTTATATAAACTGAGTCCTATCTAAAAAAGAATACTTTATTATTCCACATGGAATAGGTTCTTTAAAGTTTATTGGGTCATATTTCAAGTTAAGATGACATGTAACAACTCATTACCTTGACATAATAGCTAAATTAGCCTATATTTTCACCATTTTTAAGTAAGTGACGACTTAAGTTTGTGGAAAAATATTTTAAATATCTAAAAGTAAATAAATCATTAGCTAATAGTAGATATTCAAAAACGTACCATATTTTCTTATGAATAGGCTACCGTTAGCAGCTAAAGTTAGATCAGTGTTAAAACCCTGATGTAGGAAAGGCGTACATTTCTCGCTAACTGTTATATGAGCTAAATAATGATGGTATAAGCTACCCGAACATGACAATTTCAGCTAACCACAAATAGATTTGTTGTATTTTGATTACCTCAAGGTTAACCAATTCATAAGCTAACATAAAGCGTCAGCATCGGACAGCTTTCTAGCTAGCATTAGTGCTTAATATTGTACAATCTCAACACTAGCTACATAACGCGGCAGTTAATGAACTGAAATGAAATAACCTATTTTAGTGTTTAATAACACTGCAGAGTAGCTTTCTTTTTTTTCCCCCCTTTTATCTCAAATGTAAACTTTTTTCCGTTCCTTGACATGTTTCGGGGGGAACTTCAGCCTTCCTCAGAAGTTTGGTGGAAAGAGTGGCGCGTCATATAAGCTGGTGTTCTGGAGGCGTGACCCTCCTGTCAAGTTTTTGAAAGGAGGGTTACGCCTTATATGACACATCACAACTACCACCAAGAGACGCTTCTGAGGAAGGCGGAAGTTTCTGCCGAAACATGTCAAGGTACGTGAAAAGATTGCGAGTCTTGACTGGGTTACATCAAAAGGTCACTTGCTGTGTTTATATTTAACAATAAAACAACAAATTTAAAAACAGTCGACTGACAGTGTTACAGGATACATTAGGAAAGTCATGGATTCTTACTTTAAGGTCAGGTTGGCTTGCCAACAATAATATTTGAAGGTTAACACAATTTTTTAGCAATGGAAGACAAGAAAGTTAGTGATAGTTCACAGTTATGCTATGACTGAGCTGTCTACAGTGTTGGAAAAAAGTTTGGAATATTTGTCAATTCAACCCCAGCCTCGTGTTTAACGCGGTCTGCTGCTTTCTGGAGAATTATTCAAAGACTTTTTAATGTTTCCTGGTCTCTGTGATATGTTTTTGAAATTCACATCAAACTATTTTGTTTCTCAAAAAATTGTAGGGCGGACACCTCATGATTCACAAAAAGCCATAGAAATAACGCATAAAATCATGAGTCGGTATTTAATAAATAAACGGCTGTAATTTTAAATTGCCACAAAATATGTGGACCATCTTTGAAAGCAACATCAAACATAACAAGACGATAACAACAATACAGTCAGTACTTTGTGTGACCGCCTCTAGCATTGTACAATGCGCGTACACGTCTGGGCATGCTGGTCACTAGGTTGGTAAGAGTTTCAACCGTGATTTCTCGCCAGCATTGGTCACAGCCTGAGTCAGTTCAGCCACGTTTGTTGGAGGATCATTCACGTTACACGAAACACTGAAGAAAATATTCCAAACTTTTTTCCAACACTGTATATGCTAAAGAAACTCATATCTAAGCAAATGCATTTCTTATTTCGTGCGAAAAAGTTTGTCAATACAGTTGCTAATGGTTAAATTGATCAAAACAGATCCAGACATATTTTTTCAGAATTTTCAGAAGATTAAAAAAGTGTATTTAATCTTTATTAAAGAAAGTTTTACTCGTTGCATTTGCAGATTGCAATGCTAGCTTATTCTTTGGCGCTTTATTACCTCCACCAAGGAGGTTATGTTTTCGGTGACGTTGGTTTGTTTGTTTGTTGGTTTGTTTGTTTGTCTGTTAGCAACTTTACAGAGAAAGTTACAGACGGATTGACCTGAAATTTTCACCAGAGGTGCGTCTCAGCCCCAGGAGGATCCCATTAAATTTTGGTGGTGATCCGGATCGCCTTCTGGATCCAGGAATTTTTTGAAGGATTCTTTATCACTGTGAGATAGGGCAAATTTGGGAATTTTTGCATTTAACTCTATAAAAATGTCCAGAGTCTTTAGCAAAAAACTACACAAAAGGATCTCAATGAGTTTTATGAGGTGTCAAAGGCTGATCCTGATCCAGACAAAATTCTGGATACTGTGATCCAGAACACACAAAAATAAGGGTGTCGTTGGAATTTTCAATGCTTAAAGATAAGCAATGGGCGGCACAGTGGTGTAGATAGGCGGCACAGTGGTGTAGTGGTTAGCACTGTCGCCTCACAGCCAGACGGTCCTGGGTTCGAATCTGGGTCAGGGCATTTTTTGTTTTAGGAACATTATGAACAGTGAACATACCAGTTTAAACACAAATAAACGTTAATAAAAGACACGTAACAGTAAAGTTTTGGTGTGAATCACAATATAAGGGGGAACATGAGCTGCTTGGCGGAGGTCTGCGCTCTCTGAGTGATTTTCTAGTCTTGAAGTAGGATTAATTTAGGACCTGCATTAAGTAAATATGACATTTTATTTGAAATTTTACATCTATAAACACTAAAATCAAACTTTTGTAGCTGTTTCTAAAATTTGCACACCTGTTAAACACAATACTACATAAGGACGGCTTCCCACGCTGAATATGACATAAACAAATGTCCGCCATGTGAATCTGATTTTTGCAAAGTCATCAGTCGAAGCTGTGGCTGTCTATGAAAATAATTAGTGTCAAAACAAGTCAGTTCATCCAAATTCAGATGAAAGTCACCCCCCAGGAATCTAGAACAATGTCAACGGCACGTACGCAGATATTTCAGGATCTTCAGTCTGTCAACAAGTCAAAGTGAGGCAAGACTGACAGTTACGTGAATGCAGGACTTGCTACATCAGCTCAGACACTCATCCTGCTGCTCTCTCAGACTGGAATTACCCGAAGCTGAGGTAGAAAAAAAAAAAAATCTATTTTCGATTCCATGTTGCTCAAGAGCTTAGCAAGTAAAAAGCTATGCTACGCTCTCATTCCAACCCTTCACCACTCACGCAAACGCGTACATACATTCAGAAACTCTTCCCACCCACGTGCATTCAAATCCCACCCTGACACACACACACACAGGCCTATTGTGAAGCCACAAAACAGAAACAACAAGCTGCTCAAAAAACACCCAGGGGAGTCGCAATTCACCGCTCAATCAATCTCACCGCTGTGCGAGCAGACGCGCACACTCGCTCACACACACTTAAGGCGCGTTTAAATGCGACAAATATGTTTTATGACAAATGAATGAGAAACATGCACACACGGCGCTAGAGAGAGCACCACACTGCATCGCCCTCGAGGGACAGGCCAGCAAGTGCACATATAGGATTACTAGAATTGACGCTTCAGTCTTTCCATTGTGGACGTGAAAATCCAATGAGGGGCCTCTAAGTGGATGCACTCACACAGAGAACCTGTTTCTGAGGCTGCTAATTAAATCTAAACAGGCGCTGACATTGATTTTGAGAGACCATTACCCTCCCCTTATGGTCATAGAAACCTCATATGGTTTTACAAGTGGTGTTTTCTCGAAAGCCAGAGCACCCCGGGGGTGAACAGGTGGGAAATAGCAACAGAGGCCTTCATCGGTCAGTGGAGGATACTGAGGGAAATCTGGTGTGCAGGTTTCTGAATAAAAAAATTGCCTTCAAAGTCATGAGGAGGGGCTGAAAGTCAGTCGCTGCAGTCTTCATGATAACTGAACTAACCCTTGAAATACCCTTGAAAACCACATGACCTAATACCCTCCAAAATATGCTCCGAAAGTGGTCTTGTTTACCTGTCAGTGTGTCAGACATCCATCAGCTTTGCCCCGAGCTGTACAGTCAGAGAGGAGTTGCAAAATACACTCAAGAGGCCAAAACTGGGTAATGTTTCCACAGAAAGACACGCTTTAATAGTTAAAGTGAGGGCAAGTTGAAAGTGATGCCGAAATGTTACGATGAAATCAGGCCTGCATGGACGAAACTCACGATGAAACTACCCGTAAAAGTGAGTCTACATGAATGTAAGCAAAGACTAAACCGTTGCACCTTCCCCATTTATAGACAAGAAACTCCAGTTGAGATGACTTTTAATCAAACTTCAAGTGAGAACTTTACGAGAAGAAAAATTGAGTGTTATGAAAGAAACTTTGACCATGTAGGTACCCGTTTGTTTGTAATGATCAGTGCTGCCAACTCCTCAGTAAGGACAGTCGCTAGTGGCTGTCGTACAAGACGCTAGAAGTTGCTAGATGACGTCATCGCCTGATTTGCGTAATTTCTCCGTCAAACCTAGCCTGGCTGGGCCATCCTGTTGCGTGAATCACTTGCTGTTCCTTCACGCAACAGTCTGGACTTCGGCCCATTGGGAGCGTGTATTAGCGATCAGAAAATAACCGGGCCAATCAGTGACTGTGTTTCCACTGTTACCCGGACAACAGGGAAAGGCAGCCCCTGATTGGTCCATGTGTAGATGGTGATGTCTAACACATGCTGCGGGACTTTTCAAAGCTCAGTTCATTTAGAACGCTGTTAATTCTGAAGTTGACTTTGCAAAGTCGGCAGAAATCGTTTATTTCCGACGTCTGCTGTGGATATAAACTGAAAAGTCGCTAAATTTAGCGACTAATTTGCTAGGTTTTTAAACATGGACATTGACTCAGTTATTGGTTTCCATAGACCTGATGTGGTTTGAAAATTAAGGTACACAGTATAAAGAGACTTTCTTCATGAACAACTGGAAAGATAGTCTTTTCACCTGGTTACAGTTCAGGGTGATTATGTGTCACGCTTTTACACATGGAAAGAGGAATCAGGGGTGGAGGG